AACTAAGTAACTACTTTGAAGATCAGCTAAGGTAAAATCAGCCTGGATTTTCGGTTTGTGATTTTGCTGATCTCAAGAGCAGTGATTTTCGACCGTTACTGATTTTGGATTTATTTTTAATTTTTTCCATCACTGATCCAGTGAATCAAGATCGGCATATATTTCTAATTTAAGATCCGAATTCAGCTTGTCCGCTCCTTTGTCAGTCATACTGTTCAATACTAACCTTTTGGGGCCAGTGTTTTTATTATTTTCACCACACACTTAGAAATAACTAATTTTACACGTGACGGAATCCATCTTTGACCTAAAGGATCAGACGTAAACAAATATTTCATGTATAATTAAGTGCTCCGAGACTGAAAAGTTCGTTACTCTACGAAAAGTACGTTTGATTGAGTTGAATTGTGCGTCTGTTATGACTCAATTTTATGTCAAAATTGACGCTCGTATATGTCAGTCTCAGAGCACCTAAATTTACATTGTTTTTTTCTAACTGTGCACGAATGCTTGGAACTGAACAAGATTGAACAGACAAAAATTTTGAATTTTAACTATCGCGAAAAATCTCCCTTCGTTTAATTTTGAGCTAAAGGTGGCATAAACAACGAAATCGTTTACAAGCTTGCATACAATAGTGCTAATTTATGCCATATTGCGCTTAAATTTATACTAAATATCGCGTAAATTCTAGACATATCTATAGTTAATTTTATTTGCACTATATCTCGCAGAAATTAACATGAATTTTTCAAACGGTGTGGTTTGTTTGCCCAAATATCAGCTATTTAGGTAAGGGAGACGCTTCTTCCAGCCTTCCTCATTAAAATTAGTAATAATCGATTCAAATTTTGAACGCCAAGCGTACGGAATGAAATCTTTCAGGATGCTAATCACCAAACAGCGGGATAGGGAGGGTACTAATTTTATATTTGCTCTCATTTTAATTCACAATAATTTCAATATATATTTAGTTTTATTCTAATCGTCCCTATCTTATCTGATCGTGTCTATACCTTCTCGGTCCGGACCATTGTCTGTCACCGAAACAAAAGTGCTTGCAAACTATAGCCCGCATGCGAGTAGATGACGCCGATATCGATCTAGGCGTTCATTCAGGACGACGCTACTCAGTAGACTGATGCAAAATTTGAAATTTTTGCTCCACTGTGTTCAAACGGTTTCAAATCGGGTCCTGATTAGCCTCCGAAAGTTTAAACTCATTTGATAAGAAACTGACTTGGCACAAACCATTTGAAGTTTATATGGAAATTACTATGGGAAAACAAAACTTTTTGTTCATTGTCTTTTGGCCTTTTTACATATTTTACTGTTAACAATTTCTATTGCTATTCTTATGGGAATTTTTATCAGCTACAACTTTGCAGAAAATCGTTTTTCAGCCAAACGTCAAATTAAATAGTTATTAATTGTTTCAGAGCTTGATAATCTTATGGCAAGATTAAACAACTGTATTGTGGGCAACACTGTATTCTGCAGTGTGACATAGTAGCCATGATTTTGGTCCTCTATTCTACGCGCCATAAACACCAATGTTGCCTGCTGAACAGTTGAATGAGCATAATCATAAGACACCAGTGACTTAAATCATTGATAACTTTTGTTCCTTACATTTGATCGAAAAGTGGTTTTTAACAAAGTTGTAGCTGAGAAAATTTTCAACCAGCTTAGCTATCATTTTTTAAAGTAGAGTGAACTGGTGAATTTTGAGATAGGTATGAACCGAAATTATGGTTTCTCCATAGTAATTCCGATATAAACTTCAAATGGTTTGTGCCAAGTCAGTTTCTCACTAAATGAGTTCAAATTTTGGGAGGCTAATCAGGGCCCGATTTAGAACCATTTGAGCACTGTGGAGTGAAAATTTCAAATTTTGCATCAGTCTACTACTCAGTCATCGGTCGCATGTGCACACGGACAATATAAAAAAGAGCTCTTTGTACTTACATGCCTGTTGTCGTACTTCTTACTGCTGCGCGCATTGCCTACTGCAAGGGTTTTCACCTAGCAGGGCGAAGATTATCCCGGGAGAATGCTGTTTGTTGATCTCGTTCGGTTTGGGTGACGGCGCGGCCCCTTCTGACCGAGGTGACGATTGGCCAGGGTATTTGCGCAAAGGAGGACTCAACGGAAGAATGCGGCGACGTTTGGTCGAATGGTTTCCTAAACTGGCGACTGACAGCCGTCGAACGGCTGTTCGACTATGATTAAGACAAGCACATTTTCCTACACGCACAGAGTTTTTTACCTTTCTTCTTTCACACAACTGTAACAATCCTAGCTACAAAAAAGGTACCTTACTGATTTTTGGCTATCAGTCTAACTGAAAAGAATCACGGTAAATTAGCACTTGAAAGATTTTAAAATTTTAAAACTGACCCTACTTCGACCACCGTGGTTACAGGCAAGGCCACACTTCCGACACTTAATCGAGTTTCCAGGCAAATGGACGAGAAAGTCTCGAGTCCTCAGATAAATACATTTAGAGCGTTTAATTACAGGAAAAGCGTCACACCCGAACGCTTTTGGAAAAGTCGTCGATTATGGTTCGTTAGATTGAAATGCATCTCACTCTTACAAGTTTCATCATATCTCGCCTTCCCGCTTTCCCATCAAATTCAAGGACACGAAGTGAAAATGACCTTTGGACCAAGATCCGAATGTCTAATCTTATGACCGTTAAAAAAAGAGCATTTCTCTCCTTGATCTCGCGAGTCGCATGCGTCCAAGGTGTTGCTTATTTAAAGGTGCAGTTTGTTCGACAAATTTTCTAGCAGTCATGTAAAACAATTCAAATGATGATTTACTGTTTTAAAGTTATATTGCAAATTATCCATTTAAAAGCTATCCTTATTTCCTAATAATTCAGTTCAAATAATATACTATATACAAACAAGAAAAGTAACGTATGCTTCACGTACCTGTTACAGGGTGTTCAGAGCTCCAGATTTAATAGAGTTAGCAATTTTTATAACTGAATCCAGTACTTTCAACAACTGTTCTGGCAGAGTCTTGCTGGCAAGGGCATATGGATGAATCATGCAATGAACAACAGTGGCGTGTGGAGCAAGCTCTTTAACCTTTTTTCTGAAACCCTGATGTATTACCAAGCATTGCTGGAGCGCCATCGGTACAAACTCCACCGACTTTTTCCCACGCTAAGCCACCCGATTCAAAACATGTTTTGATTTTGTCCATGATATCATCACTTTTGGTAGTAGTTTCCAAATCACTACAGAAAAGAAACTCTTCCTTTAAATCGCCAAAGTAAACTTACTTCAGAAATATCAACAGTTGCGCACAGGAGTTGTCATTCGTATATTCGTCGAGCTGGATTGCAAATAGAGGGGATTGCTTGATTTCTTCCAAAATTTGCACTTTAACATCTTCGGACATATTTCCAATGCTACTTCATTTGACGCCTGTACTACTGCGGTGTTCAGTTGTTGGATTCTGCCTATAGCCAAGGTTGCAAAGACTCATTTCAGCTAAAACAATGTTTTTCTAAATTATGAAATAATTAGATGCCATGATCAAATTTTGAATTGGTAGGATACAAGAAGAGGTTGCAAAGAATGTGTTTGACATATTAAACCTGTTTATTTCACTTCATGAGAGTCACAATCAGCGATTTTTCACAAACTCACTCACTCACTCACTCACTCACTCAGCGATCAGCAAATCGCTGATTGTGACTCATAGAAAGCAAAATTTACAGGTTTTATGTTTCCAACGCATACTTTGTAACCTCTTCTTGTAAGTTACAAGTAAAACATGCCATCAAACCATCTTTTGGTTTTATTATTCCGAAAAACATTATTTTAGCTGAAATGAGTCTTTGCAACCTTGCCTATAGCATCGAATCTTGGTCGTTTAAGGCGTTGGAAACATGTCTCATCCTTTGCGATATGCTCAGAATATTTCGTGTTCAAATGCCGTTTCAATTTTGATGACTTCATAGCTTCCACACTCAACACAACGCAGCACAATATACACTATGGCTTATCGGCACCATTAACGAGTATAGCCATGAGTTAGTATCGTATATATTGATCGGAATACTTTCGTTTCTTCTCCATGTCTGCGGTGGTCTGCAATTAACAATTTAATCTTAGTTCTTTTATGTTACCCTTTTCTATTTTGACTTTACCGATTAAAATTGATAGCATTTGTAAGGATAATCATCAGACTTATTTCTGACAAGAATAAAAAAAAATACCTTCTTGAAAATGGGACGATCAACAACAGAGCGATTTTCGAACATTATAATTTATTTTCGAAGTCCAATGGCCAGCCTTTTTTGCTATGTTAGCGGAAATGGATGTAATGTCGGCCTACATGCCCCTAAATTCAGCAATCGTCTAAATTTTCAATAGTAACCAAAAATATCCATTTGTACCGTCCCAATGACACGTTCATCTAGATAAAACTGATAAATATTGCGCCCTCTGTATACAATCCATGAAAACCATACAAATAATAAATACAATCAATGTTTTTCATTGCAAAATCTCAATTTTTCAAAATTATTATAATTTTTCTAAAAAGTATTTTTAATTACTTTTCATTTGATATTTTGATCTATAAAGTCGGACCAGTGGTTCAAAGGTTATGATTTTTTGAAAAAAGTAATTCTTGAAAAAAATCTATTTTTTGACCACTTTAACATGGTCACCCTAATGACAAAAAAAATACGGGTCTAATTATGTTGCGATAATTTACGAAACTACAATTTTTTACGAAATTCCAAGAACCACGATTGCTATGGAATGGCAAATATACTTATTACACAAACAAATAAAATCCAACTGCTACCCAACCCTATCAACAAACCTCCCCCTCAGAGCCGGAGCAGTATAGATCTATCGATCGCGACCTCTCACTCCGTGGAAAAGCAACCAGCTACGCTCTCACTCTCCTGCTGCTCGCGAAAACGTTCTCCCTCTCTTTCGCATCGCTCTCTTCGAAGCCCAGTCTCCAGTCAGCAGAAAAAGGGGGAGCATGCACATTGCTCAAATGAAGCGACTGGAATTAGTCAAATTCGAAATACGAACACGCATGGATCGTTGCTAACCGACCGACCTCCCGTTGACGACCGACGGCCGCCCATAGTTTGTTTAGTGAAGGTTGTTTGGCTTTGCGCCCGCGTGCGCCCGTCCGCGTTCCGCGTTCTTTCCCCCGGTTGTTGTGGTCATGTGGCGGTGTTGCAGTTAGTGAGCTGCTCGGGACCAACTGTTACCATTAATTCGAAATTTCCGTTTTTTCCTGGACCGTAAAAAGGTGTAATTTTGAAAGTTCAGTCGGCTTCGGCTTGCTATGTTTGCATTCAAAATTGTCAACGTCAGCGTTTGACGCCTACTTGGTGTTGTTTTGAAATTAGTGGGAGTACGAGGGCGAGTTCGAATAGAGTGCATCATTTGCATCCGTACACTGAGTGAATCGGAAAGGTGGAACCGTGGATCGTTATCGAATGATTTTTAATGGTTGTTGGTGCTTGAGTGGAATAGGAGGAAGCGAAAATTAACGAATTGTCAACCAACGACAAGAAAAACAAAGCGAAAAGGAAGCATAAAGCGGAAAACTACACCGACAAACGTGGAAAAGTGGGAATACAACATAGGGTAACGACAGTTGGAAGTGAATAACAAGAAAACGGCAGGCACAAGTCATCAAAGATAGTGGATAGCAGATCGAGTGAAGTATGTATTAGAAAATTAAGTAAAATCAAGCGGCAAGCCAGTGCGACGACGACGACGACGACGACGAATGTGTTTTGTGTGTTTTGTGATGCAGAAGCAATAAGGCGAACGAGCGATGAAAGTTGGGCAAAAAGAGTGACACGACGGGTGACGAATGATGATGGGTGGAAATGAGTTTGGCTAAATTAGAGGTGCAAGAATGGCTGAGAAGAATATTAAGTGACAGTCGTATAGACACTGAAGCAAATTTACCGTTTGATTTGCGATACCTCCCGGGAGAAAAAAAATTCGCGAAGGTTATTGCGTGCAACTTTGTTTGGATACCGTGACAACAGCCTACTACTGTGTGTGTGTGTGATCGAAAAGTAGTTTTCTGTGTCATTCTAAGCTGGTTTGTGGTCGCTAGATGGCGCCCACCGCCACTAACCACTTCCAGGGAAGCAGCAAGTGTGCTGAATGGAAAACTTGCTGCCGACAGGAAAAATTAAAATGCAAATTGAAAACTGAAAACTGTGGGAAATAAACACGCAGTTAGAGGCGGATGATCGCTCCACTGTAAACACGGCGGTGGAGTTTATGCTCAAAAAAAACTAAGGAGGAAAACGGTCGACCAGTAAAAGCCGCCCCCGTACCATCGCTACTTGCGATTACAAGACGGAAGATGTCGATAACGAAGATGTGTTGCAAAATGGGCGGATGAGAGCTGGATAAATTATAGATATTAACGGAGATCGTTGCAAATGATAGATTCATTCCGGTGAGGAGCAAGGCGGAATTGAAGGTGGCGAATGATACTAGAATTATGCATAATGGTTTCATCGGCACGGATGGGGTGTCATTTCAAGAAGGTCATGGTGCTTTTGAATGGTTGTTTTGGAACTCATCCGCGGTTGATGGTGTACCAGTATATTTTTTTCAGTGTAAATTTCAACTAAGGGAAACCTTATTGAGGCAATGCCGATCGATCGGTAACGTTAATTCAGATGCTAAGGAATATAAGAATCCGATCTAACATTGTAAATGCGAACTAGAGTGAAATTCGACACCTCTTTGAGTCGAAAATTTGTTATGTTCCTGTAAGTTTCTATGGAGCAGAAAAGTTAAATATAACTATGATTTCGACATGAACGAATCAATCATACGTTTGGTTCGATACTCTAGGTCAAAATCTACACAACAAGGTCTATAAGGAAAATCGCATAATATGAATATTTACATATATTCTTCTAAAAAACAAAAGAAGTGCTCCTTGCAAATCCATTTGTTTTGCCTTCATCCTTATGCCGAAGTGAGTCCAATGACGTGTCAATGTTTTTGGGTGGAACTGAAGCTCATATGACGGCATCGGGATCAAGAAGCAGCGTTATATTTTTAACAATAGATTTGTGGCTCTTTAATTTGATCAATTTTGATCAATTTTGATTTAAAAAAAATAAATTGTCTGTTAAACCCCGTTCGGAAATGAATGAGAGCTTAAGTGCGGGTCGTGCTTGGTATGACGGAAATTAGATCTTAACCCGACTTGGCGCCCGTTTTTCCCAATAAAAACCAACTCAACGCCCACCAATTTACATTTCTCAATCAGCTGCACTGCTCTGCTACAACAGTTAATTGGGAAATCCTATCAAGCGGTTCCAACCCATGGGCGTGAAAGTCCTCCCGACTCCAGCTCAAATCATAAAAGCTGCTCTGCGGATTGAGAAGGTCGTCCAGCGCAACGTTGTGTTGTAGTTCAACACTTGTCCTGCAAACAATCGTCAAGTTGTGCCGTGAGACCAATCCCGAGCGATAATGGCTTTTCGGTGGCTATGCAAAACCGCGCTCAAGTGTGCAAAAATGTCATCGCGACTATTTATAATCTTGCTGCTGGCTGGCAGATGAGGCCGCTGCTGTTGCTGGCAGAAACTGGTTTCTGCTGTTGAGTGGGATTTTCGCTGCAGTTTCGCGATTCCCTAGATGGCAGCTAGTCTTTCGTATTGGAAGGTATGTAGCGGGCTTTATCAAGGTGAGCGTGACGAAACACGTACTGAACGGACTGTGGCCGTATAAGATGGGGCGGGGTAAACAAATAAACAGCGAGAAGCTAAGAAATAAGTTGGTCAGTAATGGTAAAGCCATTTTTTTCCCCTTTTATGCATAGAAATGGTGATTGAATTGGTGTTGATTTTGTGACTGATGGCGAGTAAATGGTCGCTAATCAACACTGTTTGTTTGAGTGCGGTGAAGGAAATCGAAAGAGCTGAAGGAATGTGTCGAAACTTCCCAAACTGGAAGTCTACCATGAGCAGCTCTTCAATAACATGATTAGAGGACAATTTCTCAAAACTATGACAAAAAGCTACATAAATTTGAAAATAATAATAGGTTCAAAGATCTGTTCACTATAGTACTCGTTAGTGTAAGAAAGGAGAAAAACATATGTCATTTAAAAATTCAATTGTTTGTTAGTTGATAAATACCATAGTTGTTGTTATTTCTGAATGATTTTACTAATACCTTGAAATTTCAAAAGCACAAATATCAAGTCCCAACAAATATACTACAACGAAACCGGAATTCATCGTTTGGTGCAGTGCAGCAAACAGGGAGTTCCGATTGCATGAGCGATGCCACAAAAGTGTCCGAGATGTGTGATCTAGAAAACTTCAAGTGATAGGGCAGATCAGCCATCATTACGGTCATTTTTTTAACTTATCAAGGAATCACTTTAATATTTTATTGAATAGTGCATAAGCTAAGTGAGTGTCTACGAGTCATGCAGAATTTTGAATAATTTGTATGAACAACTGTCAAAAACCATCCTACCCAAGGAAGGAACACTTCTTCCACAGAAAGGTAGTCAGAAAATACTCATGGAAGTTCTCAGACCTGTTCTTTAGAAAGTTCTCGAAAGCTCTATTGGAAACGATTAGAAATTTTCGTTTCAAAATGCAATACTTCATCTAGCGTTTACTCTAAACACTTCCATTTTACTCTTCGATGATGCTAAGAAAGTATCGAGACCTTTGCCAAGCGCACTCCTTAAAAAATCTTGAAGCTTTCTATAGGAGGATCTCAGAACTTCCTCTAAGAAAATGCCTGTGGACCCCACATGAAGTTTCAAGAACAACCTTTGGAAGAAGTTACCAGAATTTGCCTTGAAGAGTTCTCAACACTACCTCAAGGAATTTTGCAGATCTTATGCTTGAAAGTTTCCGAAAGAAAGGTCTTTAAATATATCTTTGGATATAACTACCCTTAGAAAAGTGCTTCCTAGGGGGTGAAAGCTCCATGAGCTATTCCTACGATTTTTTTTCGAATTAATGCTGGGAAAGTTACCTGACCATCTCCTAAGAAGATAGGTAAACGTACCCAATGAAGTTTCATGAAATAAGCCAGGAATTTGTATGATTTTCCACGACGAAGACTTTAGATAATTGTCTTAGAAGTTCTCAGAACTTCTCCTAAACTGTTACCCCTCGAAAGATTCAAGAACTTCCCCTTAGAATCATCTGGTTCGGGAAACATCATCGTTCTCTTATGAATAAATCACAAAACAGTACTAATGATAATTAGACCAATTTAAGTACATAAATTTAACATATTTTGTTTTTAATAACCAACATTAACAGCAACAACAACACATATTTGCAAAAACATTGATTTTGTCGTTAAACAATGCACGAGAGCATGGCATGACATTCCACCAAGTCACCCACTGGAAAACATCAATTTCATGAAGTTGATTCTAGGTAACTTTGAAGTTTTGAAAAAAACCTCATTTTCATGTCCGTGCAACGAATCTTCAAAATGAGGTTTTTCTACTAAAAAACAAGCTTAAGTTGATTTGAAAAATCTTATGGTTGGAACGGGAATCGACCTAACACCGCATGGCAAAATTTCACGGTTGTAGGACAAAAAAGGCCTCCCTTAGCTTAGTCGTCAAAGGCACAGCTACACAGCAAGACCATGCTGGAGGTGGCTGGGTTCGATTCACGGTCCGATCTAGGAATTTTTCTGGTTGGAAAATTTCTCGACTGCCCTGGGCATAGAGCATGATTGTACTTGCCATACAATTTTGCTAATGCAAAAAAGGGTAGCAGACATCGAAAGCTCTCAATTAATAACTGTGAAAGTGCATCTTGAACACTAAGTTGAGAGCACGCAATAAGCTATTTTGCGATAAGCAATAAGCTTGAAAAGCGAAAAAGAAGAAGGACGAAAGGTCGTAGGACAAAAGGTCGAAGAGCAAAAGATCTAAAGGACAAAAAGTCCAAGGGACAAAAGATCGAATGGACAAAAGTTCGAATGGACAACAGGTCGAATTGAACTTAGATGGACAAAAGGTCAAAATGAGCAAAAGGTCGAATGGGAAAGAGGTCGAATGGGTAAAAGGTTGAAATGGACCAAAGATCGAATGGACAAAAGGTTGAAAGGACAAATGGTCAAAATGGATAAACTGGTTAAATTGCAGAAGGATAAAATCTTCTTTAAGGTGATTCATTGTAGAGTCCACAAATGGCCGCCAAGTAGGCTATACATGCACTTCCACTTCAATTTTTCAATTACATAAATGTCGGAAATCGGTGCCCCATTTCACCTGAAATTGCTACTTGAAGTATATTGCAATGCAGCAAACGTGGAGTAACAATTTGAATGTTGCACGTGTCGTAGAAACTGATAGTTGTGCACTTAATGTTTCGAAGTGGTTCCGAGAATAAATATGTCACAGCGATTCACCTTAAATCGTGAGCAGTTCTTTGGAAAATTAGGAAAGTAAATTGTTACTGTGTATGCGGGACATTTCGCCGAAGGACGTTTAGCCGAAGGTCATTTCACCGAATGGGTCATTTCGCCGAAGGTCATTTTGCCGACGAGCCAGCCATTTTAAACGGGTTTGAACTTTTCTCAAAGCTCAGTAAAGTTGAAAATTAGTCTTGAAAAGAGAATGAGAAGGATCGGTTTTTTTTTTCAACCTGGCAAGCTATTCAAATGTAATGCTTCCTTCTTTTGAACATGAG